GTAGAAGAGAATTATACGGAGGATATCGATCGAGGTCCAGACCTGACTTCATCTCAGTCCCCTGCTGTCGGTTCTCCATCTCGTCCCAGTAGTCTGGCACACGCTATATCAGGGTCTCTACCGTTTCGTGCTTCCAGCACGTCAGTGGCTACGGAAGCTACGCCGACATTCGCGATTGGTTCGGAACTTCGTCCAATCTAGCCACAGGGTCATCCAAAACCCGAAGATCTTCGGTGACATACGTGAGTAGCGGACACAATGAAGTGCTTGAAAACGTGGCTAGCAAAGCTATCAGATCAAGTACGCTTCGGGTAACGTACTCATTCAACACATATGATGAGTACCGGAGCTCGGCTATGTTGGATATCATCTCCTGCAGGGTCAATCGTACGACTTTCATGCATCCTTTGCTCAAATGTACCTAGGTAGCGCAAATTTTATCTCACCTTGACTTCTCCTTTACCTAGGTACACTACGGTGTACACTGTAGAACATTTAGTCGTACTATCCGATTCTGGAGAAAAGAGTCCCGAATCTTGATTCGTTTCTCGTGGTCCCCAGCCAAACACATGGCCCGTGTTTTCTTTTTCCACATTGTGGACACTTTCTTCTTTGTACCTAGGTGGTATGTACGTGAGCTATCGTTCACCGCTGCAACTTGTGAGCATGACGCACACCGTGCTTTCCATACCATTACGCCTAAGGCGTGGAAGTGCCTCGTATTCTGCTGCGCGATTGTCAATCGCCCAGATGGTAGTTTGGCAAGGATAACATGTGTTCGTACACAATGTTCATGGTGATCATACTTGAAGTATTTCCGCGGACCTGCGAGATTCGAAAAAAACTCGCCCACCTTACCCAGAGACACTGGCTTACTGGACTACAACCGGCATGTTACTGTTACATGGATCGGCTCGCGAATCTTAGATGCGGAAGATCTTCGTGAGCGTAAGCTACCAAGGTAGACGGAGGGAGGCGCAACACAGCGGGTGCTTAGCCCCATGAGACAAAAGGCTGCACAGCCTCGGTAGGCGTCGAGGCGAGGCGAGCATACTTTCGGCGGGATGCATCCGATGCTATCTGTTGCACGCGATCCAATTGATATTGGGCAGTGACACAGCAACCACAACCCGTAACGAAGTTGTTTTGTGGAACTCCCCTGTGAAGAGTCATGGACTGCTGTTGTGGATTTCAACATGAATCACTGAAATCAGACCATCACCGCTTTGGCCCCTAGCATAGCGGAAATAGTAAAGGAGCATGGGGTGATGAGGCACGAGCGTGCTGTTGGTTGAGCAAGAAGTGTCTTTGGACGCCCAATCAGCATACACACCATTTTTGACGACGTCCAGGATCATGCAACTGGGTAAATCGTATCTGGCCGTTGAACGCGTCAATGGAAGCGGCGTCTGGTCAAAGCAGACGTCTTGTCCTATCCGCTACGAAGTCTGTTGTGTACATATTGCCAATTACTTATGTTGTAGTTTATCATTTTATAAATGTTGCAACAGAGGATGTATGTGAAGTTCACCTGGGCACACCTTCAGGTACCGGACTTTGGAAGCGGTCCAACAGCTCAAAAGCCCACTGCATGTTATTGTCACAAACGGCGTCACCACGCGACCGAGATGATTTTCAGAACACTTGAGCGCTGACTTGGAGAAGTAAATGTGGTCTTGCTGATGGACGTCCGTAGATGGGTTGTCACGGTGGTTGCCTGGATACCTATCAATGGATCCGCGTACCTAGGTCACGTGCTTTGCTTAGGTAACACCTAAAGCTCTGACTTCATTGCACTTTCCCCGCTGGATCGCGAAGCCAACCGCGACGAGACCACGACGAAATCACCCATCACCAGCGCGTTCCTACTCACCATCTTGGTGCGGTCGCGCTTGTCTCTCCTTCTCTGCTACACAGTCAGTGATAGAGACACTCAATCTTCTCATCAACAAGAAGCAAGCTGACGCCAGAATTTATCTTCTGAAGCAAGATAGCGCGGTCCAGCATCACAGCAACAGCCAACATGGCAACGTCTCGCTCAAGTTCAGCTTCAGAGGGCGAGGTCTTGGATACCCGACACAAGGCAAACACAGTCAACTCGCGCAACGAACCTGCGATTAACGGCTCAAGCAGGTCCTTTGGACTGGATGATGCTTATGATAACTATCGCGCATTGAGTCGCTCGCCTTCGCCATACCGCCGCAAGCGCACGCCATCACGCTCTCCGTCACCATATCGGAGGAACCGCGCCGCCGACCGATCGCCATCGCCCTATCGACGAAGCCGAGCCGATCACACTGGGAATGATTCAAGGGGCTACAAGCGCAAGGCTTCTCCGCCACGCAGTCGCCCTGACAAGCGGTATCATGCTGATCGTAGCAGACACGCTGACCCTCGACGGGCTCCAGGATCTTATCAGGGAGGGTTTGTCAAGGAACAGAAGGACGTACCAGACCGATCACATGCCAAGCCCATATCGTACGCCGAAGTCGAGAACCCCAATCCAGTACCAGATTTCCGAGAGACTCTGCCTACCGATAAGCGACCACAAAACTCGCGTCACGGAGATCAACAGCGCGATAAGTCTCGTCAGTCGCTGCCACAGAAGCAACAGGCACCTTCAGAAGGCCCGAAGACCGAGGCGAAGAAGACAAGCGTGACAGAAGATGTTGAGATGTAAGCGCAACCAGTGCCAACCGATCCCTTTACACAACTGACATTGCAACAGGACCTCCATTGACGATACCACTGAGTACACCCCGGCCCCTGTCGAAGAGAAAGTTCCCACTCAAGAATCGCGTGAGGAGAAACGTCGCCGTTGGGCTGCTATACGTGCCGCTGCTGCTGAGCAACAGAAGCCGAAAGACAGTCTGCTTCAGCAGGCTGTTCTCACTAATGCATCTGAAGCGGCAACCCATGATGTCGCGTCTCCAGCGGCCCACGTCCAAAGTCCCATATCACCGTTCGCATCGCCCCGTAACGGCAACCTCGACTCCGTACCGGCTTCACCAGACGTTATGGTAATCGACAAGCAGAACGTAATTAGTGAGGGCAACAGTCCTGCGGTAGCGAGTCCATCGGCGGCGGATTACGACCCGCTACAGGACATGTTGGACGACCGCGATCGAGCAGCCAAGAAGAACCAGAATCCCGAAGTTTCTTCAGATGCGTACCGCGAGACCGACCCGAAAGTCCTCTCTACACTTCCAGCTGAGAAAGTAGCACCTGTCAAGAAACAAAAGAAAGAGTTCGACATGTTCGCTTCTGATGATGAAGACGAGGAAGAATATGTCGGAGCTGAGCAGGCTGTCGTTGCGAAAGGCACTGTGCTTGACGAGAAGCTGCTTGACAACTGGGACGATCCCGAAGGATACTACAAGCTGATCAGCAACGAGCTAGTGGATGGTGGACGCTATCGCATGATCAAGGGTCTTGGTCGTGGTGTCTTCGCCAACGTCGCACAAGCTGAGGAGGTCAGGGCTGACAACGGGGATCCAAATCCAAGAATAGTCGCTATCAAGATGATCCGCCGGAACGACTTGATGAGAAGAGCCAGCCAGAAGGAGATGGACTTCCTGCGCAAAGTCAACGAGGCAGACCCACAGGACAAGCGTCACATCATTCGCTTACTGGGTTCTTTCGACCACAAAGGCCATCTGTGCATTGTGTTCGAACACATGTCGAAGAACTTGCGAGATCTGCTCAAGGAAGAGACCAACGGCCACGGTCTCACACTTCCAGCTGTGCGCATCTATGCGCGTCAGATGTTTCTTGGTCTCCAGCACTTGCAGAACTGTCAGGTCATCCACCTTGATCTGAAGCCAGACAACGTCCTAGTCTCTGCTGACAAGAAAACCATCAAGCTCGCCGATTTTGGTACCGCTGTCGACAAGCGAGACGTGATCGAGCGCACCGAGTACCTTGTCAGTCGATTCTACCGCGCACCCGAGATCATACTTGGTATGGAGGTTGGCTATCCTGTCGACATGTGGGCTGTGGGTTGCACTGTGTATGAGCTATGGACTGGTAAAATCCTCTTTACCGGACGGTCGAACAATCAGATGATCAAGTCTTTCATGGACTGTCTGGGATGGCCAAGTGAGAAACTGCTCAAGAAGGGTCTCGTCAACAACATTCTCGATAACTTTGAGTTGGGACCACCGCTTAAGTTCATCAGTCGGGAGGTGGATCAGTACAATAAGGTAAGCGTTTTAGTCTCTCTTAGAGGTAAAGCTAACGAGCCAAAGCTCTCTGTCCGCAAAATTGAACAGCAGAAGAAGATCAACCGCGATATGAAGACGCGAGTTCATGAGGCTGCCCGAAGCATCTCCACTGGAGGACCTACCGTGGGCGAGCTGAATGATCTTGCGGATCTGTTGAGCGCAAGCCTGCACATGAACGTCGAAAAGCGTCTATCGCCGAAGGAAGCTCTCGCGCACAAGTTCTTCGCCACTAAGAACCCCGCGTCTAAGACTGCCACACCTGCAAAGTCTGCTGTCGTCAAGCCACCCATGATGAAACGAGGCAATCCAGTTGGTACACCTAATATTCGTCGGTAAGCTCTACGATATGGATTTCAGCGTTGCAATCTTCTTGACTTTCGGCGTTGTTCTGCTTCTTTGCTTTCAGCGTGAAAATATGGACCGTCTTCAACGAAGGCGGCTAGGGCATGGGCTTCGACTTTGGAGTATGGAGTATGGAGTATGGGCAATTAACACAGGACCTGACAGGCTGCCGTCGGACTGGTATCCAATATCGAAGATGACAGCTGCAGAGAACATAGACAAGGGTAATCGGTCTACGGAGTGAGTGGAACACATTTACCGCGGGGTCGGGCACCACTGGGTTTGAGTCTTACGGCGCTGCTCATTTACAGCTTTTGGCTCTGGTTTACTTCCCGGTTACCGGGTTCACGACAATCAATGGGGGTGGATATGTGGTGGACTCGGATCGGAAAGTAAGTGCTGCTGTGTACTTGGCTTGTGGGTGGGCCTTCCTGTCGAATCGGCCTTGGACGTCCCTAGAAGGACTCCCGATTCGTATGACATTTTCGGTGGAGGAAAAATGACGAGGTGGAAAGCTAGTTCACATGTACAATACTGGGCTTCTGGTATCTCAAAACACAGTCAGCATGATGCATGTGGTAAAACAAGCAATGTGCTATACAACTTTCCCATACTTCAAGCGTCACTCTCTCCTCTCAAGAACGCTTTGACTTTATCACCCCAAATGACCTGACGCTTGTAGATAGTCATTGCTGGTACACTGCCCAGGCCTAACCCGTCGATAGCTTCCGCAAGAACCTGTCCACTTCCTTCGTCCCTCAATTCACGGAGGGGATACTGGTAGGTCTTGTTCTTGTTAGCCAATCCAGCCCGCTCAGCCAGCAAAACTTACCTTGAACGCAAAAACCAATGCTCCGGTCTTTGGTAAACGGTGCAACGTCTGCCTCTCACACCTTACCACCGACTTGTTCAAATCAATATCCTCTTCATCCCCCACCTCTTGCTTTCTTTTCATCTCCTCTTCGCTCATATGATTACCCTTCAAGCAGAACAACTCGCCATTCGTACTGATGCTCCAATTACTCCGCTTGACAATCTTGCCCACCGGTAGATTGGCAAAGAAGCGATCCATACTCTTCTCGAGCTTTGCAGCGTAACCGGGGACGGGAGCATGGATGTCAGCAAGGAGTTGGCCAAGTTTTGAGCGTGTGTTGAAGCCGCTTGGAAAGCAGTTTACGAAGGCTGTTAATACGTATTTCGTTGGAGTAGTAGGTGCAGATGTAGAAGGAGAAGGAGTGAGTAACAGGAATTCCGTGTCGATGTTCGCACCTAGAATTTCCAGTGCTTCTTCTCCGTTGGTCATGTGTAATGGGACGAGGGTATCTGTGACGTGGTTCCGCAGATGCTTGCCTGATTCTGTGATGCGGTATAGACTTGGGAAGCGTTGGGGTAGGTAAGTTCCTATGAGCCATTTGTAGAGCTCTTGGACTGCGGGGACGGCTTCTGGGTTGCATGCGAGGACTTCGTGACGTTCTTCTTGGAGAAGTTGTGTTCGTATTTGCAAACGCGTACGGTACGTGTTATCCATTGCTAGGAGGTCATTAAGGGTGGTGTTCTCGAGAGCTGTGGTAGCCTCTTCGTCAGTGCATGTCACAGTGTTCAGAAGCCATGGTGGAGACGCTACCCATAGTCATGTGGAACTTGGGTTTGAACGGACGAAGTTTGAGAGGCGCTTCTGTTTCAAGGTTGAAGTTTGGTAGGGGAGTGATGGCGTTGTATATAGCTTCTGGATCCACGAGCTCGAGTTTCTTGTTGCTTAGTGATGTCGTTGGCACTAGCGGAGATCGCTGGTTTAAGGGCTGGCGTCAGTGTCTCTCCGAGAAAATGGAATACCGGGGACTTCATACACTGACTGCCTTTTGTAGTCGATCTCGCTGAAAGAATGCCACAACAAGTACCCCAACCAGCAAGAGCAACCATGCTAGCGGCTTATCAACGAGACTGAGTTGATCCATGTTTGTATTCGATTGTCTTTCAAGACGTCTCTAGCAGATAGTCTGGATATGTTCGATACTTAAAGCGCATGCCAAGCGTACCGGGCGTCGTCATGACATCGGGGAAAAGATGGAATCGTAAACTAAGAGACGCTGTAAACGCGGTGACTCTGCTATCAGGTGTGCTGAAGTAAATGGGATTTGATTGCCTATCAGAGCTAACCCCGCATTCGGGCGGTTACGCTAAGGATGTTGTACTAGGGACAGGGCGTGTCCAAGTCATGCATTCGTCAACCTTCACTCAAGACTGGTGCGATACTAGGTGTCAATGCGAACCGATGAACCGTTACAAGAATATGAACATGCTTGATTTCATGTTAGAGTGCCCTTCGAAACTGAGAAACCCCTTCAGTCCTTGCTTACGTGCCTTTCAGCTGGATTCCTCTACATGCAGTTGCTTTGGCACAGGCTTGTAGTTATGGCGGTCTTATCGGATTGCAAACCGTTACGGGGCCATGGGCGGCGACGCATGGCGAACGGATAGCATTCCTTTCGCCTCAATGAAGCAGCTATGGTCTTCACAATAGTCTTGCTAGACGTCTGCCTTGTCGGATCTACGCCTTGGTGTCTTCGGCCTCAGGGTGACCCACAGGCACCAGCTTGCCCACAACCAAATACTTTTCCTCGAATCTCTCCTCCCATCCCCTCAGCGCATCCATCTGCTCGGCGTCCAGACCCTCGAGAGTGTCTAGCGGTCCATCCAAATCCTTGGTCAGCATGTCCTCGTCGAAACTACCACAGGCCAGGCCCCTTGAGGCATCCCGGCCAGCGAAGTTTGCGTAAGGGCCACCGGGTCCGTAGAAGTTGCGACCGGATGTAACGTCAAATACACGGCCACGGACGGCGAGGTAGACGGGCATGTTGTTCAAGCCATTGTAGGGGAAGAGCGAGGGCGGCGTGAAGGTGCGGAAGACGGTTGGCGGCGGGGCGCGCGGGAGGGTTTGCGGAGCGGCTGGCTTGAGGCGGAGATAGACGAGCAGGCCGAGGAGAGAGAACAGAATGATGTTTATTGGGGTGAAGACGGAGGCGCTGTAGGGCTGTGAGCTGGGTGTTGGTTGGGAGCGGAGCTGGTTGCTTACGCGTGGGTTGCCGCTGGCTCCGGCAGAGGTGATGGGAGTGCTATTGCGGTTAGCGTGACGTAATTCCAGAGCGTGGCGCGTGTAGAAACTAACCATCCGACATGGCTGCGGGTGGTGTGCTACAGATGTGCCAGAGAGGTGACAGTGAACGGTGGTGGCGTGGTGGTGGGTAGGCCTTGAAGCTTTGAACGGCGCGGGGAGCTCAATCGACATGACAGCCGATGATGCAACCCCAAAGACTCCCTCAGCACTAACCAGCCATCCATGCCACACTATCACGGACTTCCGCCGGCTTGACATGCAAGGGCCGAATCCAGACATACGTACAGACAATCGAATCGCATCCGGCCTGCCATCTGCCCGTCAAAGGGGCGCCGTCACAGCTGAGATGCAGTGCGATGCATGTGAGACATAGCCACCGGCTTGCACAACCACAGCTCCAGCTCTCTCACCGGAGAGCCGCCATGGTAATCTTAGATAGTTCGACTCCACTTGCACCGTGACTTCACAACCGCAAGCACGCGCCCATCTGCGCGCAGACGTTGAGCATCGCGCCGCTCCACCCAGCCCATCCCTGCCGCGCCGCCTCTGAAACAGGGCCCTTTCCAGCCCTGAAACGCGCGACAGCGATTCATTTCCGCCGCCTTGGGACGCGCTGATTCGCCCACGCCGCCTCTTGCGCCTCGGCCCTATCCCGTCCAAACATTGTGTCGCAAAGCAATTCGCTGCTGTCGAACCGCTGTGTGAAGACAAAGACTTGCGGCACCGGTGCGTTATCGTGCCGCTGGCGCTTTGGTCGAGGCGCAGTTCGCTCTTGTTTGTGGGGTGTTCTCCTAGATGGTGTGAGCCGGCACTGATACAACTCTACGTCGACTTGGTCGCCCTCGCTCATTTACCAAAATTACGCCCTCGGTGCTGCTGCAGGGGACGAAGGATTCACGGCTTGAAGCTTACGTGCTGTTCCTTTGTTTAATCTGGCATCAACCACAACAACAACAACGCAAACAGTCAACACCAAACTTCACATCTCTCCCTTTACGCATAATCGCACCCGGTACGTACTCATATTCCTTATCTTATCACCGGCTCTTTTGGACTTGGTACTTGCGCCCTCGACGTTGCCCATTAATTTATGCGCTGGCCATGCGATCCTATCCTGGAATGAAGACGCAATGGCAGGTTGCATAGAAAGAGCTGCTGTCCGATGCAGTAAAGGCATCTGGTGGTGGCCCTCCGCATCTCTGATCGACGGTCCATGTCTCTCGCCTATCGCCCGCACCGACAACTATCTCCACCAGATCTAGAACCAGGCCAAGTCTCGCGATGTCGATGGGTTTCAAAAAGCATCCAACAATCATGCAATCAGTGCAATGGCTCCCAAGATTGCTGCGAAAAGGAGAGGCTTTCTGAAATAAGTAGCTCGGGGCCGCTGAGAATATCGCCTTTCACACCTCGTCATGCTTATGTATACTTGCACCAATATCGAGTCGGGCTAATATTCGTTTCATGCAGATTCGCCCATAATGTGGAAACGATTACAGGGCGCCGTCCGAGATAGGGAGAGGCATGCGCAAATAGGAAACCCCGTACTTCTTGAAACCACCTATGACGAGGATCAACTGAAGCGCAATCCCAAAGTGACCGACCTGCAAAATGGCAGTCACCACAATTATGCGCTCCCTCAACTCTCGCAGTAAGTATCGCAATTTCGTTTGCTCACTCACCGCTGATTGTCTCGCAGTTTATTGTCTCCCCAGGAACCTCCCAACTACAGAGCCTCAGAAGTACCCACGGCCTCCTCCATCTACTCGCAAGACACCCTCTGCTACGATAACGATAACCCCACCCGCAGATCGCCATCTGCATACGAAGACATATCGCCTCCCAGCTCTCCGGAACCGGAACAGTACTCCTCTTTCAACCTACCTCGAAGATTCCGCTCGATGCGTGACGTGTCACCCATGGACGACGATCGCAGAAAACTCGAAGACGATTCCCGCGCGGGCAGCCAGATTCCCGTCCTACGCAGAGCGCCGTCTGTCCTTCGAAATGGCGACGCTCCACCAGCACCTAAGCAGAAGTTCTGGGAGGGCAAGCTTGCGCCAAATGCGAAAGTGAAGTGGGATGAGTATTCAGGCGAGCCTAATAGTGCAGGGAAGGCCGCCTCAGTCGATCCAGGCTCTTATGCGAAAGGTGTGCCGTCATCAGACCCTAGACCCATGGGGTATCAGGTTTCAGTCAGTGGTCCTGAGAAAAAGAACACAAGTTTTGGGGAGCGCGTTGGCCGCTTCGGGTCGAAGCGCTCACCACCGCCCGTGGAGCCGTGGAGCCGAGCGACGGGACGATCAGAAATCGCACCTCCGCTCAAATACCAGCCTACAGACAAACCACTTCAAATACCACGCAAGACGATTTCACCAAGCACGGACCAAGCGAGGTCAAACGCGCTTGCAGCTGCCATTGATTCTGCACCCAAGCTGCCTGATACTCAAACTGTAACAACCGAAATGGCGCCCAAGGATCCGCGCGATAACGATATGCGTTACAACGATGGCATTAAACCCATTGTCCCGCTCAAAGTAGGAAAAAACACGCCTCTTCGAAGCGGTCACATCTCTCCAACCTCACCCACAGCAGGTCTCGGTATAAGCACATCGTACCCTAGCCCCATCACACCAACCAGCCGCACCCAATTGAACCAGTCCCCGGCCACCGTAACGCCAGTAGAACAGACGCTGTACCCCACCTTGCGGACTGCGACGCCGCCATACAACAAGGAGACATCGGAGAAGGACAAGCCCATCAGCCGGTTTTCGTGGACTACCTACAACAGTGCGGGGACATACCAACACTCACCACCACCTTCACCACCCAACGGGCTATCGTCCTCGCAAAGACAGCGTGTTGCAACCGAGCCCATATCGGCCGCTTCCTCGATCCTAAACCGTCGCCGCCCCGTACCCCCCTTAGACAGGGAACCCGCACCCATGGCCAAAGTCTACACCCCCAGCCCGAGATCCCCTTACGCCTCCTCTACTTTCTCCAACTCATCACAAAAATCACAAAAGGCGCTTCCGCTACCTCCTTCCCAACTCAGTGCCATCGACCACATTGCCTATCTGGAATCGCAGCAAGAAGATCTACGAATTCGTCGCAACAATGTGTATCGTTTGCTTAAAGACTTGAACAATGCTGCGCCGCCTAATCCGCTGCTTACCGACTTCAAGAAGGCTAGGGTCGCGGAAGAGAGGAAGAAGGCGTTTCAAGAGGAGTTGGATGAGATTCGCAGAGAAGAGCATGATGTTGGGCTCAAGTTGCATCGCGCGTGGAAGAAGAGGGAGAGGGATGATCCGAACTCGAATGGGAGCGCATTGTGGGTGAGGAGAGTCACTAGCTAGATGCAGTTGACTCGGTGGCATGGAGTTGGTGTACGATGTGGTGGATTTCTCTTCTTTTTCTGGCATTTGCAGTTCACACAGCGTACTTGGCGTTGCTTTCCAAGTCGCATATTCTCTGGCTCGAAGCCTTGTGGTTATCCAAGCGGATACATTTTCTTTCGAATTACCAAGACCTTAGTTATCATACCCCGAATTTCATAAACGTTCTATTTTGATTTGCAAACTAGTCGACCTCAGGCACGGGCAGTCCATTGACTATCATCATTCCCTCTCTTCCCAACATCTTCATTGCTTTTACCGCTTCGTCATGTCGTAATTGCTTCGTCTCTTCATCCGTTACCAACACGAAATCGTATTTGAGCAATTTCGATCCTTCTTTGACGTCATACTCCTTGGCCTGTTCAGCTGTCACGGTATCTAAGCTGACAATGAGAGATTCTTTGACACCAAAGACGGCGTCGGAGGTCTCGTAGTCGGAACCACGGACATACAATGCCCTAGACATGGCGTCAGTAAGCTACACAAACGAAGAGGTCTAAAGAGGAGACTCACGTAACCAAGTTATCGAAACCCTCCTTCTCAAACATGAAATGCATATGGCTCGGCCTCCAGCAATGCCTACCCAATTTTTCGAGCAACTTGCCAACAGGCCCGTCATTGGGAATTGGATACGGTACGGGTACGATACCCTTGAACCAGAACACACCATCCTTGTCACTCCTTATAACCGCACGGCCATCTGCTTTGTCACCCCTGTTCTCATACTGCACGTCGTATTTGCCATGGGAGTCTGTTTCCCACACGTCGATCTTGACGTCTGATACGGGCTCGCCGTGCGTAGTTTTGACCGTGCAGAGGACGAGCAGGGACTCGCCGTCGGGATCGGCAGAGATGGAGGTGCCGTTGGAGTCGGAGGGTGCGTCGTGCGTGTGGAACGGACCGAGGACTGTGCCTTCGGTGGAGGAGGCCGGTTTGGGATGGTCTATAGAGTCTACGAGGAGAGAGAGACCGACTATGTCTGAAAGAAGGATGAATTCCTACGATATATTACTACAGCTCAGGTGTCTTGGTCTTATACCACGAGAACCAGATGGAAACTTACCTGTCGCACGTCTGTGCATATCTGTCCTACCTGCGTAAGAAACTGTATGCCTGCCATCCACTCATCGAAGCTCAGCCGCGTCTCGCGTGCGAAGTCGTGTAGATGCGACACCAAACGCTCCATGACGTACTTGAGGCGCGGGTCTGCGCATTGCGAGTTTATTCGGTGCACATTCTCGGTGATGTTCTCGATTGTGAGATCTTTGAGGACAGGAACCGTGGAGGCGTCTGCGCCCTTGCTAGATGCCATGGTGCCGTGTGATGAGACGTTGTAGAGGGTTTGAAGTCGAGATTGGGCAAGCTTGAGACGAAAGGAGTTACGGTCGTGAAAACAAGCACACAAAGATAAAGATCACTTCAGGACACGCAAAGGACACCACAAAGCTTGCGAGGCTACTCGAAGAAGGGAAGTGCACTTGAAGCTAGCTGCGGCACTGACGAACGAAAGTAACCGCGAAGCTTGACACGAAAGCCGCCGAATCGGGCCCCATCTCAAAAGACGTCCGCTGACGATAGCGCAAAGCTCATAGGTCGCGCAACTGCGAAGAACAGGGTTGCAGGCGCCGGCAAAGAGTTCAAGAGGTGGAGGTGATGATGTCGGAGGGGCTCTCGGTACCTGGATGCGGGGCGGGGCAGCAGCTTACCAAGAGCTTACAAGCAGTGGCACTACCGGCCAAATATTCCTAAGGATCCTTTGCCATGTAAATGCTCGATACATCCACAATTGCGTCCGCCAACTTGGTTTTCTTCGGTCACTAATGTGCTCTCGATCACTGAGCATTTTGCTTGTTGATTCACTGTAAACCAGTCGGAAGGGCCACATTGACGCGATTATATATCGACGGAAGCCCACCACAGTTACGCCATTACAATTCCGGCTTCTTCATACAACAACGGCTACTAGCTGCACTTGTGTGCCACTCAACCTATGCCCCGAAGTCCATCGACAGCTGGTTTTCGAATAGGCATCATGTGCACAGCTTGCAGCGACAGAGGACTCTTCTCGATACCGGAACACGGCACCGAGATTCGTCGATCTGTACGATTGCTTCGCAATTAGCCTAAAGGATTTGTGTCGCTCAAGCTGCAGGAACAACATAGTTCATACACGTGCATATGCTAAGAACGAGTTGGATCAATTTCTTCCATATTGCTGTAAAGCGGGTCGTGACAGTAACCTATGCGCCGTGATTGTTCCCACTCATCAACCCAAACGCCGGCTGCGTACATCAATCCATGATAAGACCAGGAAAGAGAATATGACTGATGAAAGTAAAGGGTAGTCCCTATTCGACTGTATTCTCACAGTAGACAGAGGAAAGTGAAAGCTGTTGAACAGCTCCATGTAAGGTTAGGCGTTGTTCTTAGGGTTCTCTGGTGAAGCCTTCCACTGTTAAGTGTTAGCAGAGTTACTCATCATCACATGGAGACGACGTACCTTCTTGCCAAGCTCTTGCTGTTGCTCTTTTAAAGAGAGATCCTTGTACTCATCGCGGTGGGCCTTGACTGTTATCGTTCGTTAGCGGATCCGTCGTCCCACGAGGTGTTGTTACTGCGCCTGGGGTAACGCGTCCGAATAACGCGTCGAAACGCGTCAAATGATGCAGACTTACAGTATGCTTGCATCCTGATCATGGCATTCCTTGCGTTGCCCTTCTTAGCGATGCGACCGCCCTTAGGAGCACCCTTCTTGACACCCGCGGTGCTGGCTGCCTTCGGTGTCGCAGTCTTGGTAGTGGTAGCAGCCATGATGGATAGCAGACACTGGTCGAAGGTGGTATTAGTTTGTGAGCGGAGAAATTTGGTGGAAGTAAGTGGCAGAGGTAGAGCTGTCGTTGTGGTGTTAATGGGAGGTGAGCGTGTACTGTAGGTTTATTGACGAAGGCGCGACCCAAACCGCGCTAAGCTACACTTGGCTTACTACCCTACTTTATGTATTCGATAGCCTGCCTGGGTATTTGCGCGACATTAGAAACATAGTCTTGCGTGATTGGCGCAGCTGTTCACTTGAAACATGTAGCAATATGCGCCCCCAACTCCCTTTCAGATGCAAGGTATGCGGCATGGAACGCATGGTTGTGTCTCCGGAAAGAGACATTGCCATTGCGCGAATCATGAGCTGACATGAGCGAAATTGTCGCCTTTGTAGTCTCACTTTCGTTCGAAGTCAACCGCTCGCAAGACTATGCGGATCCTCGTGTAATTACGACGCATTTCAATCTTGTGCAACAAAGCCGCAATGGCTTCCTCGGTGCTTGAATACGTTGCACTATGGTCGATCTCCTGAGAAGTCTACCACTCTGCAGAGAGACTTCCCAATCAGGGTCCTGGCATCTGAGATACCGAAAGCCATGTCGAATCACCTGTATCCGAAGCATGCACAGAGGTCCAACTCTTGGTCACAGCGTGACAGCATTCCGCCGAACGAGATTCAACTGTAGGGTTGTCTCCAAATACACTCTCAAGAAGTATCTGCCGTCTTCTCCTCCGTTATACGACGGTGCCGAGCATCCTGAGGGTCGGTGCCCCCTGTGATCAGAACCGGCCGTTCGATGCCTCGAGAGGCAATACTGAACTTCCGACGGTGGCCACTCGGGCGCTCTGTGAGGCTAGGAGCGCGTGGTCTCGCCTTTCCGCGAGCGCGACCGCCGATGACTGGTATCTCGTATGCGCCAGCGCGACAGCAGTATAGGATAAGGTCGTAGACGAGCAGCGCTGCCCATGGGCCGATGGCTACGAGGCCGAGGAAAAGCTATTCTGCGTTAGAAGATCGCTTTCTATCGATAGAGTCGAGCACTACTCACAAATATGCGCGTGATCCAGGTTTCGACCACAGCCAAGTTCGCAGGTAGAATAGAAAGGAATCCCATGGCGGGGCGTAGCGGAGACTGTACCCGGACGGAACGAAGATAGAGATAAAGGGGCGTCAACTGGAGGTGCAGAGGTACGAAGAGGCACAGAGTTGTCTCAATTAACTGATGACACTTAGTCGTCGAGAACACGGAATGCGGTTGACGAAGATGTGTGATGTTCAAGTTTAGTGGAGAGATTGGCCGCCATGAAGCCGCCTCCAGCGGCCGCCGCGAAGTGGATCGCTGTGGGCCGTGGCTGAAGCTTTCCCCGGCACATCACCGACCAGACCCCCTCAACACCAACCACTAAACATCAGATGCAGCTGACATCTCAGCCCTATATGTGAGGCTGTACAATGGTTGTTCCATTGATTGGATGCCGATTTGGCGTTGATTTTGCGAGGCCAATAAGACATGACAGCCATACTGACACCCCTCCATGGAGACACCCCCAAGCACCTCCGTTGTTATACAACTCTCTATTCACACACACACACATTCTAACGCACTGGATTGCACCCATCTCTAGAAAACCGCTGGCATCACTAGTCCTCTGACGTATCGGACGCTGACCAGCAGGCTCTCCAAAGACGGGTGCTTGGCCCTGCCCGCGTGCCCACGGTTGCCTGGCCCTACCCACCCCAACTTCTGAGCCTTGTCAGACCTACCCAAATAATTTCTCTATTGAGTCGAAGGCTTTGAAATTTTGGCACACCCTCCAAACGCACTCTGACACCTCGCACAAAGTCTCGGTCGCTTACATCGACAGCTTGAGTTGATTGCGACGCCTCACCAGCAGCCTCGCTGCCACACCCGGAGGCCTCACATTAACCATCAAGCCGCAGAGCATTCCTCAGGCCAGCGCAGGTCTCCCGGCTCGCTTCTTTGTGCACTCCCGTTCGCATTCAACATGGATGGACTCGCCTTCTTAGACGAGTACACGGAGCGAGGCCAGAGTAATGCAACGCTGAAGATAGTCCTTCCCAGCGGAGAGGTCCGTCAGATCTCAGATCGCATCTGCCCGTTCAAGTTCTTGGACAGATGTCAGTAACGTTCCTGTACGGCTTCATGTCAACATGTACTGACTTCGTACGCCCACATATTAGGTCCGCTCCTGTACCACGCATTTGAGTACGGTTTCCAGAGCCGCCTACAAGCGAGTATTGAGGCCCTATCCGAGTATGCCGTCGTCTCGCTTCTTCGGTTCTGCTACACCGGTAGCTATATTCCGCCTCGAGCAGAGTATGATCCAGTGTCGTTTCTTCCCCATGCCGAGACGTATAAGATCGCCGAGGATTTCGATGTTCCTGAACTGCAACTCCTCGCGCACGGCAATTTCTCATGCCAGCTCGAGTTCGCCTGCTGTGTACCCGCGGCTCCCCATGACTTGGTCGAGACTATTCGTTTTGTATATCGTCACTATGCCAGTCAGCAGGCTCGTCGACAGCACGACCTCGTCCCTTCATTGCTCAACTACTGCATCTCAAACTTCCTCTACCACAAGCTAGGGGAGGATGCCGAGTTTCTCAAGATTGCTGCTGAAATCCCGGACTTCCGCCAGGACCTATGCCGCACGAACATGGGACGCAATTTCCAAGATGAGTGTAAGATACTATGAGCACAGTCAAATCCTACGCTGACTATCGTAGGCGCGTTCGACATTGTACGGTTATGTCTCGATACCCTCCAGGTTCAACCTTGTGTTCGCCCGACTGTCCTTGCGTCAAGAGACCTCCCAGATGAGATGATTTGCGACACTCTTCCGGATACGTCTAGTCCATTGCGCTACCCACCTGGCGAGAATTTGGAAGCTGTAGAGTACAGGGCGCATGAAGAGACCGATCAGGACAACATGGTCGATTCCGGAATCCTTACATTTGTTCGTCGCCCCAAGGTTGCACAGCCAGCTACGATCCTAGAGTCCGACGAGGAGTGTGTTGAAGACGATCAGGGATTCACCTTGGTGTCCCGACCCAAACTTCAGAGCCTGACTGCGTTCGACGAACCGATGTCTAGCCCTGAGTTGACTTCTCCTCCGGCCGTCGACATACTAGCCGCCACTGGCACCGACTACTCCAGCGACGACGAACCGATGTCTAGCCCCGAGTTGATCTCCACTCCTGTAGTTGACATACTAGCCGCTACCGGGACCGACTACTCTAGCGATGAAGAGTGGACGCAGATCTGAGAGTGCCAGTACATTCCATGGCCAGAGAGTGCTCTGGTCTTGGGCATACGGCGTTATTGATGGGATATAGATGTCTCACGAAATTATGGATTTTGAATCTGTTTTGGCATGGTTTATTAAGTTGGGTTTAAATTGTTTAGGAAGGGGCGTTTCAAGTGATCGGAATCACACAAGGGAAAACTCGCATAGGCGCAAGAGTCTGCTTTTGAGAACTCATCAAATACATCGTTTTGCATCCAACCATTCAGAAAGCACGTACTAGAATATAGCAGTACTAGCTATTCCATTCTATTCAATGCCGTTAAGTTTTGTCTCTGAGTCCCCAGTCCTCACCATGCCCCAGGGATCGTAGCGTAATTCCCTCTATCCTCCGACACCACTGCCTGAGAAGCCCGTTGCGGCCTGGCCTCCCATCTCGAATACGGCATCACCTCTGACATCGCATTCCGCTGTACAGCTCTTCCTTGCGCGTTGTGATGTTTCCTCGGCGTATCGATGTCGATGCCGGAGAATTTTCCACTGCTCGAGGTAAACTCTGGTCGTTGTGCCTGACCATGCTTCGCATCCTGGCGCTGTATTTTCTTCTGTCTGTTTTTGGTTGTGAGACGCACTGTGGGGAAGCACAAGCGCTGAACAGTTTCGATCGCATTCTTATCAACAAGGTCCGGATCCCATTGCCGAAGTATGCCCAAGACGTCGATGACGAAGCTTTGGCAGTTGGTAGTGGCCACTTTGTAACTGAAATCTCGTAGAACTCTCTCTTTTGCTGCTTCGTTCTTTCTGAACGAGGATTCTGCGCCATCGATTATCGTGGCGTCTGATCCCCTGTCCATCAAATCACCGATTTTGACAAAACTCTTCCTGTTGCATTCGAAGGCGTTCTGGTGCGAAGCGCTTCTTGAGAAGGTTTGGTCAAGAAGTAAGGCGCCGCGGTTTGGTCGCTCGTTTATGTAGTTTACTTCCCATGTTGTACCAGTCAGCTGGTTCGTGCCGTCGTCAAGGAAGAGTCTCCAGTGTGCGGTGTTGGAGCCTGGGTTTGCGCTGATGAGGTAAAGTTGGCAGATTTTAGAAGAGTAGCGTGGGACACTGCTGGATGAGCTTGATTCGATGCTCTTGCTGGCTGAAGAACCCATTTCTTTGATAGGGTGGAGTTGCTCTTGTCTTGACGTAGTGTCGGTCTGTGATAAGAGGATGGAAGAGTTGGAAGCCTTTGGAGAAGGGGAAGAGAGATTGCAGAGTATTTATGTGAGGCCAACAATGAGTCAAGGGCAGGAATTTGGCATGTTGTTATCTCGGAACGATCTATTGGGCACGTGGCGGGTCCTTAAATCTGGCTTGCATTCCTATAGGTAGCGTGTTAACGATCATAGTTCCACTATGGAACCAGTAAAAGCGAGTGACCATGACCAAGCTCTTGTGCTGACAAGACTTCTCTTTTCGAGAGGACCTGATTGGATGAATATATATGCATTTCGGAAGTTGTGAGTCGCTCGTCTACGTCGCGTCACCGCAGTACCGTGGGACGAAAAGGAGGAACCGCAATATCGCATCGCACTCAGATGTGAGTCAGAAGAATGACCATGATCAAGGTGTCAAGGTTACTACACTGTCCTGCAAATGGCGTGCATCTGATTATGGATGACAGGACTCATCATGGCTTCATAGAGATCTGGAGCGGACAGGGCAGATTTCGGGTACGTTGATTCATGTTTGCCGCGGCTAGTCTGCGAACAGAGCCGCCCATAGAGTACATGAAAAGCCAGTATATTATACTTGCGATGTTCCTCATTTGTGAGAGTATCTTTTCGTCTGGGTCGTCGATGTTGCGGAAGTTGTGAGTGGCTCGTTTCGCTCTGCGTCATCGCAGTACCATGGGGTGAAGTGCATGTCAACCAGAATATGGCATCGCACACAGGACAAGCCATAGCCACAAATAATCAGATATAGAAGTCCATATGTACGGAAGAGACTTTTTTGTTGTTACAGGAAAATTAGGCCACCTTGTGCATTTGAGACGGCAATGAGGAATCCAGCATAAAGGAAACCGCCCTCTCGTAATTGCCAGTGGACCGGCAAGGGATCGCGTCAGAAACAGCAATTACATAGAACATCCAAATGAAACCGGGAAGCAGGAAACGCATAATCAATCTCGTGGGTTCATGCCGCACACTCAATCCTCCGTTCGTCTTTCGGCTCCTTCATTGCATAATCCATATCCGTGGGCATGATGGTCTCGGAGGTTCGTGTGCCAGGAGATGAGTAGTCTCCATGAATATTGACGCTCACTTGATCGATATCAGCAAGTGCTTCGAACCAAACACGCGATGGACTCAACTTACCTTCCTCGTGCGCCTAGTAGCGGCGGGGTGGGTAATCAGCCGCTGCACCCTCGTAAGGTGGACGGCCTCCGGGGCTACGGGGACGAGCACCACGTGGGGACGGTGGTCGTCCGCCTTCGTAAGGGCGTCCATGACCGTTCATGTATGGGTCATCGTAACCACGGGGAGGAGGTCGGGCCCTAGCATCATAAGGATCGTCAGGGTAACGCGCGCGCGGTGGGCCATACTCATCAGGCATGCGACCACGAGGCGGCGAACGTCCATAACCACCATCACGCCTGTCATAAAACTCGCGGGGAGGTGTGCGTCGGCGATAGTCATCGCGGCGAGGGCTGTAGCCACGAGGGGGACCGCGACGGTCATAGTAGTCGTCGTATGGCGCAGGTGGGTATCCGCCACCGCGACGGCCCATGGGGGAGCGGGATCGGTATCTATCACGGCCCCGGTCATCAGGACCACCAGGGCCTCCGTAAGGAGCGCGAGGCTTGAAAGGTGGAGGTGGGGGAGGATCGGAGACGTCCTGGATACAGGTAACTTCCTGCCCCTTGAACTCACGGCGGTCCAGTTTCTCCACTGCGGTCTTCAGATCGGCGGCCGTCTCATACTCCACGAATCTGCGCGACGGTTTAGTACGTGTGCCTAGCTGCAGTACGTGTCCACTCACCCGGAGCCATCGCGTTCGCGGCCAACTTCGGAGTAGACGACGTCCAATCCAGACTGGCGGGCGAAATCTTTGAGGTCCTATAAGTTCGAAGTTAAGCGAGGCCCAAATCCAGAATGTATAACGGGAAGCAAGCGAGAACAAAGCCATTTCTGGTCCAGGAACGGTGCGCTGGCGCTAACAGGGAACTGAGGAAATCCAATGATCGGGGAGTCTGACCTGCCAGCTGGTCTCCACAGGAAGATTTGCTATTCTCATCCGGTATGGTGTGCGCCTAGGACGCGGGGGAACGCGCTCATGGGGAGTAAAGTTCTCGTTACGGGCACGCGAGCCGCGAGCGAACTGGACGATGAGGCGCTCGCCCATGAAGTCGGTACCATCTTCGAATCAGTTAGAGACGCATGTCCGGATGTGCACAGATATGAGTTACGTACGGAATGCTGCATACAAGTTAGCACGTGTTCAGCCGATCGGCGCGTAGTTGAAGCTTACCAGGGACGACATCACGAGCATCCATTGCGTCCTTGTACTCGATGAAGCCGAATCCATTCATGAGCTTGATCTCAGTGATCTCACCAGTACCGTGCGACGCGAAGTGACCCTCGACATCGGCCTTGGTAGCATTGCGCGGGAGGTTGCCTAGGTAGAGGCGCGTGGACGATACCTCGGTCATGGTAGCGGCTGTTGTGGTAGAGCTTTATCCTAAAGATAACCTAGTCTGGAGAGAATCGTGAGCAAATATCCATGAGCAAGCGGGAAGCCATCGAGGAAGCGCGCATGGTGCCTGCCAGTGACGGGGTGACTCGGTATCATAGACGCGACGCCAGGAAGCCAGTGTCCAGCGGCGTGCGCAACTACAGGAACCAGGAAGACGCGCAAGGAATTTCCAGTGCATGCAATACAGGCGGCTAGTCGTACCTTGGAGATAGAGTCGGGCGCTGGAAGCAGGGTGGCCGTGAAGAACCTGAGAGCTTGAGGACCAGGAAGAAGCCGGGTGAGTGCAGAAGGCGCGTCCTTGAATCTGGGGCACCGGAATTAGTAAGCCCAGTATCGCGACCACGAATTGCAAGTGCAGATGAGGGCCGAGCAGCTATCGATGTAAGAGGCCCCGGCGAGGTTGATGGGTGGACGGTGACGAAGGGTGGAGAAGGAAGTTCGCCCAACGCCTCACTCGCCCTAGCGTTCCAAGCTTCGGGCACGGACATCACGTGTGCCTTGCCTCGAGCCATGGACGGGACCGTACGCCCTTTCAAGCACCCAGTGAAATGTCACTTCTTTCAAACAGATAATTCAATGCTGTTTGCTCACAGGATCATGGGAACGTAGCTGAAGCCCGCCCAGGCTTCGATCGCGCGCAGAACAAGGCGACTGATCACTCCATCGACCCCTACAAACCTCGGAAGGTCACTTGGGCAGCAAGAATACTCGGGCTGACATTGAAATCTGATATGTACACACACGATTCTCCCTAATGTACAGGTCTTCCCATTGCGTGAACGGCAGCTAAGCCATAATCTCTATCTCACCGTCCGTATTAAGTAAGTACGTACTTTGGTCCCTCGCCACCTTGGGGTGTTTGCCAATTGATGTCCTGGTCCGGCACTTTGATATCGCAAGTCTTACAGTGGACGCAGCTGCATACAGTTAGCGGTCTTCTACGTAATCGCGGTATCTAGACCTACTTTTGGGCGTTGATCTGGAACCTAACGCCCAGCTCTTTGCTGTCGTCCTCCACGTACTCGTAGACGCCAGCGGGGCAGAACCGGTTTTCTACACCCTTGTACCTGGGCCATTCTTTCTGGGCATGCGCATCGTAGTCTTTGACCTGGAGATGGCAGGGCTGGTCCTCCTCGTGATTCGTGCCACTTCGGCTGACGCTCGTTAATATGTCGAAGCTGATCTTACCGTCCGGCTTGGGGTATTCTATCTTGGGGCATTCGTCTGCCGTCTTGGTCGCTGCGTGATCGGGCTTGCCATGCTTCAATGTCCATGGTGCCTTGCCTCGAAGAACGTAGGCCTCCAGACCAGAGTACATGATACCTCCGTAAATACCTAGTGGAGTGTGGAAAGACGGGCGCATGTTGCGCACAGTCTTTAGTTCCGACCAAATCGACGACTTGCGCATCTTGTCCTCGTAGTCATACAGAAACACGGTACCGCCGTCTGCATTGGCTTGTAGGGCGTCCCAAGTCGCCTCAGCAGCTAACATACCTGACCTCATTGCGTTGTGCGTGCCCTTGATCTTGGGCAGGTTGAGTAAGCCTGCGGCGTCTCCAAGCAGTGCGCCACCAGGGAAGGCCAGTTTTGGTATGGACTGGAAGCCGCCCTCGATCAGCGTTCTCGCGCCATACGATATACACTTGCCGCCTTCCAGTACGTCCTTGTAGTACGGGTGGTGCTTCATCTTCTGGAACTCGCCATAGGGAGCCAACCAGGGATTCGGGTAGTCGAGCCCAACAACGAGACCAATGCTGACGAGGTTGTCGCCAAAATGATACATCCAGCCACCGCCATAGGTATCCTTCGGCAGCGGGTAGCCCATCGAGTGAACCACCAGTCCAGACTTGAATTTCTCGGGCTGTACCTCCCAGACTTCCTTGATGCCAAGACCGTATGTCTGATGTTGGCTATCTCGCCTCAGATCGTACTTCTTGATGATTTGCTTGGACAAGCTGCCATGGCAACCTTCACCAAGCAACGTGACGCGTGCATGGAACTCCATTCCTCGCTCGAATGAGTCTTTGGCCTTGCCTTCACGCGATATGCCGAGATCGTTGGTGGCTACACCTTGTACGACACCCTCATGGTTGTATAGTACCTCCGACGCAGCGAACCCGGGGTAAACCTCGACACCAACTTCCTCTGCACGCTCGCCCAGCCACTTGACCATCTGGTTCAAGCTTATTATGTAATTGCCGTGGTTGTTCATCTGCGGAGGCTTGGGTAGAGGGATGGCGCTGTTCTTAGTCATGAAGAACATATGATCTTCTTTGGCAGGGGTGATGTCGGCGAAGCGGTTCAGGTTGTCCTCTGACTTCCAGTCAGGCAGTAGCTCGTCGAGGGCAGAGGGTTCTATGACGTTCCCAGACACGATGTGATCGCCCAACTCGCCCGCCTTCTCCAGCACTAGAAC